CACCTGCCCTGCCAGGGCTTTCATGGACGTATACTGTGTTGGAGAATATATGACCCAGCTCAAAAATTGATACTCTCTCCCCGGCGTTACTAGAATTAAAAAAAGAAATCTAAAGAAGGAAAACGTTTGACCTTGGAGGAGACCAAGGTTGTAATTAAAGGTAGTGTGGGTGCTGATGGGCAATGAAGACACCCCCCCACCCACCCACACGCACTAAAATATACAGGGTATGAAACATCCAAGAATATTTTCTAAAGGCACACCTAGATTTTTCTTGTCAGTTTGGGACGTTTGACCCGTTATAGGTTAAGGCATGCAGCGGTATTAACTGTTCGTGGTCTGACGCTGCGAACGCAATGACAGTCCGTTTGAACACGTTTCTCTCCGCAGGCTGGACAAGCTTTCAAAAAGTTTCTACCGCTCTTTGACAGAGTATTGGTTGAAAGGAGTGCCGCCGAAACTGTGACCAAAGGTGGCATTATGCTTCCAGAAAAGTCTCAAGGAAAAGTATTGCAAGCAACAGTAGTGGCTGTGGGATCAGGCTCGAAAGGAAAGGTAACTGGGAGCTACTACAGCAGTACTGAGTCTTATATGTGATATGGAAGGAAAGGAGTAGAAAATCCTAGATTACCAAGTGGCTTTTAAAATAGTAGATGTCTTTTTTTGAAATAATTTAACTTCACAAAGAACCGCGCATGAAGGAAAACCATTGTGGAGTTGTTTTATTTTTCTAAGGAATGGAGAGGCATTCTATAAAAAAAGGCAAAATGTACACATGAGAAGTGTGTGTGTGTGTGTGTGTGTGTGTGTGTGTGTAAGACATTGTATGTGCATGTCTGCTGGTTTGCAGAGTTGTTTCCAGCCCTCAGTATGTTTGGGTTACTGCCTTTTTACTAGTGTTGAGATTCCCTAAATTGGGTTCCAGTACTGAGCTCTTTCTGCAGTGCCACACACTCCAGAGATTAACTGCCATTATGGTGACTCATGCCTTGTGGCCATGGTACTTTGGAGACCAAGGCAGAAGGATTGTAGAGTCTTTTAAGCCATCAGGAGGTACAGGGTGAGACCATATCTCAAAAAAAAAAATTAAAAAGGAAAAACAAAACGTCACAAAATATATTACCTTTGGTAGTTTGTTGTAACCTACTTTTCACAGTTTTAAATAGACAAAACATCATACAGTTAGATAAACCCTGGGTGGTGGGGTTTTTGTTTTTTTTTTTTTTTTTCAGAATTGAAAGTGGTAATAATACCACTAGAATTCTGGTGGTGGTGGGGCTGAGCTGAGGCAGAAGGACCCAGAATTAATGGCCACTCAAGGCTACATAGACTTGTCTCCTCCTTCCCCAAAAAGAAAGGGTGAAATGGTGGGGATGGGGGCTGGCTGATGGCTTAACTCAGGCACTGAAATTGTTTTAATCTTATGCCACTGGTAGCTTTAGTTGTCATATTTGAGAAGGGAAATGGAAATACTCTGGGTTTTCCACTTAACTAAACCTCTGTAGTGTGCTACTTCAGTTTCTGACCAAGCCTATGCCTTGAGGACAAGGACATTGAATAAAGAAAACAAATAGCAAATTTTTATTCATCAAAGTCATATGTGACCATTTACTATTTTGGTATTAAAAGCTGCTTTATTTCACCTGGTCTCTAGGGTGTGTTAATATTTAATAGTTAAAATGTTAGCCAACCGTAGCTGTTCACTGAAAGGCAGTTTTAGCTAAGCCACTGTTTATTTCAAATTGTAACTACAGTGATGCTTATATTGTGATGATCTACATTTAATGTAAATTATATTGCTTAACAACTAATTAGGTACCAAACAACATACTAGATTTGAGTGAGCACATTTCATGTGGTTTAAAAGTTGTCTATAGAGCCTAGTGTGGTTGATACATGCCTATAATTAACAACACTTAGAGAGCTGAGGCAGGAGGCTCCTGGTGTATGTACGGAAAGAAAGTGTTCATTGTGTGTCTTGTGAACAAGATGCCCTTTCTAATAAGCAACTATTTTTTTTAAGGGTGGAGAGATTCAGCCGGTCAGTGTGAAAGTTGGAGACAAAGTTCTTCTCCCAGAATATGGAGGCACCAAAGTAGTTCTAGACGACAAGGTAAGTAAAGCTATGATTTTTATTTTAAATCAAGACAGGGTTTCTCTGTGTCACTCTGGCTGTCCTGGAACTCCTCTGTAGACCAGGCTGGCTTTGAACTCACAAAGATTTGCCTGCCTTTGCCTCCCAAGTGCTGGAATTAAAGACGTGCTACCACCAAGCAATAAAGCTAAAATGAGTTGTGTGTTTGCTTTTACTGTCTTAACTGGTGGTTTCTTTATTCACAGGATTATTTCTTATTTAGAGATGCTGACATTCTTGGAAAATATACGGACTGAAATCACTGTTGAAATGGTATCACATGAAGCTGCCCATTCCGCCGACATTCTGAACTATTCATCATGTAAATAATTTCTGTGCCTCCCTTTTATAATAAACTGATGATGCCTAAACTGATGACATCCATTGTCTCTGAAGGTTTAGTATCAATGTACTGTTATAAACATTTCCGAATAAAATAAGTAAATGAGTGACGGTGTTTAGTAATTTAAGGTGGGTTTCTCCCTTTAAGCTGCAGAGTTAAGAGTTCTGAGAAAGAAGGTTTCTTAAATAAATAAATTTTGAGGATGAATTTGGCTTCCTTACATAGATGAGTGATACTTTTTTTGGGGGGGGGAGACTGGGTTTCTCTGTGTTGCTTTGGAGCCTATCCTGGCACTTGCTCTGTAGACCAGGCTGGCATCGAACTCAGAGATCACCTGCCTCTGCCTCCCAAGTGCTGGGATTAAAGGTGTGCACCATCAATGCCCGGCCTAGATAAGTGATATTAAAACCATGGGCTTATCTTATACTTAGGCCCTGTCTTGGTTTGCTTTCTATTTCTGTAATAAACTACTGGCCAAAAGCAACTTGGAGAGAAAAGGGTTTATTTCAGCATCAAGTTCATAGTTCAACATAGAGGGAATTCTGGGCAAGAGCTGTAACGGAGACCAAAGAGAAATGTTTCTGCCTTGCTCCCCTTCTCTTGCTTTCTTACACTGGCCTGGGCCACCTGCCCAGGGGTGGCACAAGCCATAGTGGCCTGGGCATTCCCATATCAATCATGAAGATAACTCACCATAGTCTGAGTATCCTAGGCCCATCTAATAATCAATTGCAATTTATTCTTCCCGCTTGACAAAAGTTAGCAACATTGTACAACAAGTATGATCTGGGGTACAGTTGCTCTGTTACAGAGGTGTGCTGTTCTTATCCTCATTATTTCCTGAGCATGCCTGTCTTCCAAATCTTAAATCAAAACTTGTTAATTTGTTTTGGCAAAGAAAATCAGCACAGGAAGCCAGATAGGTGACTCAGTCAATGGTTAAAAGCACTGGCTGTTCTATCAGAGGATCCAGATTTGGTCTTTCTGTGGTTCACTGCAGAACAGATTGGTCCTCCTGCGTTGGCCTCCTTGATGCTTGGGTTATAGGTGTTACCCATCTGACTTAACCTAAACTCCATACGACAGAGTTCTTTCTATATTACAAATATAACCTCCTAAAATGGTTTCTTTAGCAATTACCCTAGTCAAATATCACAAGGGGCCAACCTTCTAGTAGGTGTGGTTGGGCCCTTGCAGGTTTAAGTATACCAAGTAATTTGGGGAATGGAATCAAAGCTTTAGAACCAAGCCTTGGATCTCAAAACACTTGGTAATAGCATTGGGCAGTAGTAGGAAAGCTTTGATCCAGGTTGGACTCCTGATTTCTGAGGTTACTAGTAACCACCTTGCGTTGTGGTAGGCTTTTTTCAGTTTGTCTCTGGCATTTGTGTATATACATGGTCAGGCCAAAAGAGGACAATCAGGTATTGGCTGTGATCACTGCCTTACCCGTTGAGCAAGGCCTCACTGAACCTGGAGTTTGACTATGACTAGTGAACCCCAGCAGTCCTATCTGCCCACAGCACATGTGCATATCATGCCCTACTTGGGATTTAAGTTCAGGTCTTAATGTTTGCATGGCAAGCACTCACCAGCTCCTGTTTTGAGACATGTTTGTTTTGAGAAGGTTTCTCTGTAGCTTTGGAGGCTGTCCCAGAACTCAGTAGACAAGGCTGGCCTTGAACTCATAAAGATCTGCCTGCCTCTGCCTCCCAAGTGCTGGGTTTAAAGGTGTGCACCATCACCACCCCGTCTTGGAGAAATGGTTTAATGGTTAAGAGTACTTGCTATTATAGAGGACCTAGAATCAGTTTATAGCACCCACATGTTTATAATTATTCTTAACTACAGTTCCGGGGATCCGATTATATATTTAACTTTGGGGAGGGGGGGCTGCTACCTAGCTTACCCAGCTCCCAAATAAGTACACAGAGACTTATTCTTACTTATGAATGCCTGGCCTTAGCTTGGCTTGTTTCTTGCTAGGTTTCCTTACATTATCTCATCTACCTTCTGCCTCTGCATCTGCCTTTTACCTTTCTCTGTTCAATATACCTTTCTTTCCTTCTTACTCTGTGGCTGGGTGGCTGGCTCCTGGTGTCCTCTCACCTTCTCGACCTTTTTCCTTTGCTGCTCTTAATATTTTCTTTTTATTCTGTATGTTTGGTGTTTTGATTATTATGTGTTGAGGTTTTCTTGTTTGGTTCAGTCTATTTGGTGTTCTGTAGGCTTCTTGTACTTTCATTGGCATGTCTTTCTTTAGGTTGGGAAAGTTTTCTTCTATGATTTTGTTGAATATGTTTTCTGTCCCTTTGAGTTGGATTTCTTCACTTTCTATACCTATTATTCTTAGGTTTGGTCTTTTAACGGTGTCCTATATTTCCTTGATATTTTGTGTTAGGGATTTGTTGGACTTAAGATTTTCTTTGGTTGATGAGTCTATTTCTCCTAGTGTACCTTCAACTCCTGAGATTCTATCTTCCATCTCTTGTATTTTGTTGGTTATGCTTGCATCTGTAGTTCCTGATCGTTTACCCAGCTTTTCTATTTCCAGCATTCCCTCAGACTGTGCTTTCTTTATTGTCTCCATTTCAGTTTTTAGGTCTTGAACTGTTTCCTTGGGAGATTTGTTGAAATATTTTATTTTTTGGCTTGTTTTTTCTTCCATTTCTTTAAGGGGTTTTTCTCATGTCCTCTTTGAGGTCCTCTATCATTTTCATGAAGATGTTTTTAAGGTCATTCTCTTCTGTTTCATCTGCATTGTAATGCTCAGGGCTTGCTGGTGTTTAGTTCCTAGTCTCCGATGGTGTCATATTGAGTTTTCTGTTGTTGAATGTGCTTTTACATTGTCCTCTTCTCATCCTTTCTTCTGGTGGGTGTAGCAGGAGTCTCTAACTCTCCTGGTGGGTGTGGGACCAAGGTTCCCCTCTGGTAGATGCAAACAGTTCCAATACTCTGATGTCTGTCCTCTTCTCGTGGATGGAGGTGGGACTGTTACTGGGGCCTTGGCAGTCTCTGGGTGTGTTGGATCCCGCTGAGTTCAGATCTGGTGAGCAGACCCCTGGCGTCAGGTGTCCC